AGGCTCCATTTAAATTGATTGAAAGAAAAACCGAACCCCTAGAATTAATTCATACTGATGTGTGTGATCTTAAATTTGTTCAAACTAGAGGAGGCAAAAAATATTTCATAACATTTATTAATGACTGCACAAGATATTGTTATGTATATTTACTTAAAAGTAAAGATGATACCTTGGAAATGTTTAAACTCTACAAAACTAAAGTTGAAAATCAACTTGGTAGAACCATTAAAAAAGTTAAAAGTGATAGGCGTGGTGAATATTATGCATCTTTAAATAAATTTTGTGCACAACATGGCATTATTCACCAAACTATAGCACCCTATTTTCCACAACAAAATGAAATTGTTGTAAGAAATAATAGAACCCTTAAAGAAATAATGAATGTCATGTTACTAAGTTCAGGTTTACCACAGAACTTGTGGGGAGAAACAATATTGTCTGCTAATTATGTTCTTAACAGAATACCCCACAAGAAAACTAACAGCACTCCTTATGAATTATGGAAAGGTAGATCACCTTCCTACAAATACTTGAAAGTGTAGGGGTATTTGGCAAAAGTAGAAGTTCATGTTCCTAAAAAGACTAAGATAAGACCAAAAATAGTGAACTGCGTGTTTATTGGTTATGTGCATAGTAGTAGTGCATATCGGTTTTTGACTTACAAATTAGAAATACCTGATATACATGTGAACACTATCATTGAATCAAGGAATGACGTGTTTTTTGAACATGTTTTTCCTTACAAGAAAGGACATGAATTAAGTTCTCAGAAAAGAACTTATGATTATACACAAAGTCAAGAGACTAATGACAATCAAATGCAAAAGACTAGTAATGGTCTCCACCAAGAAGATTTAACTAATGATGAACCAAGATGAAGTAAGAGAGCAAGAACATCAAAATCCTTTGGTCGAGATTTTCTGACATACCTGTTAGAAAATGAGCCTCAGAGCTTTATGGAAGTAATGTTAGGTCCTGAAGCACCTTTGTGGAAAAATGCCGTTAATAATGAAATTGAATCTATTATGCAAAATCATACTTGGGAATTGGTAGATCTTCCACCTGGTTCTAAACCTCTTGGGTATAAATGGATATTCAAGAGAAAAATGAAAGCAGATGGTTCAATAGACAAGTATAAAGCAAGACTTGTGGTAAAAGGTTACAGACAAAAGGAAGGTCTGGACTATTTTGACACATATTCTCCTGTGACAAGAATAACGTCCATTCGCATGCTTATTGCTATAACAACGTTGTATAATCTAGAGATACATCAAATGGATGTTAAGATAGCTTTTTTAAACGATGATCTAAATGAAGAGATTTATACAAAACAACCCGAAGGGGTTGTAGTGCCAGGGCAAGAAAAGAAAGTTTGTTGGATTATAAAATTGCTCTATGAATTAAAACAAGTTCGTAAGCAATTGCAAGAGAAATTTGATCATGCTATGCTAACTAATGGATTTAAGATAAACGAATGTGACAAGTGCCTCTATATTAAAAACATTGACAAAGGTTATGTCATCGTTTGTCTTTATGTGGATGACATGCTTATCGTTGGAATCAGTCAAAACATGATCAAATCAACCAAGCAAATGCTGAACAAAAGATTTGATGTGGAAGATATGAGGGTTGCAGATGTAATATTAGAAATGAAAATTACTAAAACATCTGATAGATATGCATTATCTCAATCTCATTATATTGAGAAAATTCTTGGTAAATATATCAAGGACGATAAGAATGTAGCAAGCACACCTGTAGACATCAGTTTTTATTTATCGAAAAATAAAAGTGATGTGGTGTCTCAGCTAAAATACTTCCAAATCATTGGAAGCCTAATGTACCTAATGAATTGCACGTGTCTTGATATAGCTTATGCTGTCAGTAAGTTGAGTAGGTGCACTAGTAACCCCAGAGAAGACCGTTGGAAAACGATCATTCGGGTTTTTAGATATCTAAGATTTACCCGTGTTCATGGCTTATACTTTTCTTGATATCCAGCAGTACTCGAAGGTTATTATGATGCAAATTGGATATCGGATACTAAAAATTCAAAATCCACTAGTGGATATGTCTTTACTCTGGGAGGCGTTGCTGTTTCTTGGAAATCCATGAAACAAACATGCATCGCATGATTCACAATGGAATTTGAGTTCATTGCTTTAGACAAAGTAGGAGAAGAAGCAGAATGGCTTCGCCATTTCTTAGAAGACATTCCAATGTGGCCAAAACTTGTGCCAACTATTTGCATTCATTGTGATGGTCAATCTACAATAGGCAGGGCACAAAGTCATATATATAAATTATAATGGTAAGTCACGACATATCCGTTGTCAACATAATATCGTAAGGAAATTGCTCTCAAGTTAAATAATCTCAATAGATTATATAAAATCTAAAGAGAATATTGCGGATTTGTTAACAAAAGGTTTGGCAAAAGAGCAACTGTATGGTTCATCGAAGGAGATGGGATTAAAACCTATTACATAAGAGTCATCATAATGGTAACCCTACTTAGATGACTGGAGATCCCAAGAACTAAGTTCAAAGGGATAACTAAGTTATGTGTGGCTCGCTAGAAATCACCAAGGGATTAAAATTCCCTACTCATTCCTATGGTGAGAGTGATATCTGCAACATGTGTTGTATGCAGGGGTTTAAGGATAAGCTTTGCTTTTTATTGATTACTTATGTCTTGATTTAGGCATAAAAATCAAGACGAGTATAAGAGATACTCACAATAAGAATCACCTATATGAGTGTCAAACTGGGGTCGGTTTTACAAGAATGAAGAGGGTAAATTCTCTAGAAGCACTCACGAATAACCAGGAGCGTTCAAAGCCAAAATAAACACAACCGTGAGAACTACAATGTGTTAGAAGATATTTTGTGTGAAATTTATTGTCTTGGCTTACACTAACGGCTAAAAATTCATGTCATCGCATCCATTGGTTAGCTAGTAAGTCTGATAGGTTATCACTAGGGAAGGTTCAAAGCCGAAAGCTACCTATCCTGATGCAAGATATTTTCTATTTATACTCTGTCGACAAATTTTGCATATTGTTGCATTTCCATTGTCATCAAAATCCATTCATGTGGGGGATTGTAAGAAATGGTTTGGGAAAAAATAGATTTTTTCTAAACTTTGATCTAACTTTTAGGTGGGACCCATGCGCCAAAGTTGGACCATTATTGGGGTGAATGGGAAATTAATGCCAAAGTGAGCTCCATGAAAATGGTGTATGTGGGGGTTGAATTTCATCAATGTGATTGAAAGCCTGACATCAGGCCCATTAGAGAATCGGGCCGAATACAAATCAACCCTACCTAGAGGCCCACGTTGCAACATATGCAAATTGGCCATGAAAAGAGCCGAATGGAAGCCAAAGGACCAACTATAAGGACCGACTAATTAATTACATTAAGGGTCAAGTGTGGGCCCAACCATAGGCCCTGAAGTAGTATAAAAGAAGGAGCCTCGATCAGGGAAAGGTATATAAAAAAAAAGTTAATAACTTACGAGAAAAGTAAACACAAAGACAATAGGACTAACTTGCTCATCGGAGGGCTAATTCCGGCACCCCTGTCCAGAGCGTTTGTTTCTCTTTCAGGTATCATTTCAAGGATCAAGAAGGTCTGTTTGGATCAGAAAGCATTCCTAAACCCCTTTCACCACAATTGGCGCCGTCTGTGGGAATACTCAAGCACATTCATGGAAGATGTAACAGATGATCCTTCGCTCATTGCTGATGATGGTACACCAAGAGATGATGTTATACCAAGAACTATGCTTGGTCTGGAGACTATCCCTACGCGAAGGGCCCTGAACTTCGACCCAGTGGCCCAAACCTCGCCTTTAACCTCGATGCAAGAAACCATGTAGACGATCATAGATCAAGCAAAATGAAATGAATAATGTCTGGAAAATATGGTAGCTGATAATGAACGTTTAGGTAAGGAGTTAGCCCTCGAGTTAGCCAAATCCTAACAAATCGCACCATGCCATGACCGGGGTCGGTCGCTAGAGAAAAAGAAGGATGATCAACGGTGTCGGCATCGGAAACATGATAGTAGCAGTGCTTTCGGTTCATCATCTCAGGAACCCAGGAAGAAGGGGCGAGTTGACATGTCCAGCTCATCTGAGGGAAGTCTGTATGTAAGACACAGACGAGGAAAATGAGATAGTCGGATGAAGAGAATAAACACGATCCTTTCGTACGACGCATTGCAAGGGCTGCATTGCCTAAAAAGTTTAAAGTGCCAACGTTCACCGTGTATGATGGTAAGTCTGACCCTATGGATCACATCGTCAGTACAAACAAGCGATGACATTGCATGCTGATGATGAAGCACCCATGTGCCGAATGTTTTCGAGTAGCCTGGGACCATTGGCCATCAGATGGTATTATAAACTAGAGTCGACCTCAGTAAAAAGTTTTCATCAGCTCCAAAAATCCTTCAGGGCAAGATTCATCACCAACGAGGTTCAGCCAAAGCAAGCTGACTCTTTCCAGGCAATGCAAATTAAACCAGAAGAGACCCTCTGTAAATAGTCAGTGCTCTACTAGGAATGTTTAAACCTGGTAAACGATGCTTCCAACGACTCCATGGCCATCACTGCCTTTAAAATGAGATTACACCCCAACAGAAGCTCATTGACCAGACGGCCTCCTAAAACAGTCTGGGCACTAATGAAGAAAGTTGAGGAGTATTGCAAGGTGGAAGACGATGCCCTTTGTGTCAAGGCCGGACAAAACGTCCTGAAGTTGGCACCATCTAGTCTGGTTCAACCGATAATCGTCGTACCACTAGGGAGCCCTGAACCGCGGGGCCAGGTAAAATGAGACAATCGGCAGGATTCGAGCTGGTCAAGTGAATAGTGTTTGCGTCGTTCGAACGAGCATTATCAAGTGGATAGCAGGCGCTCCTGACATTCAGACAAGAAGTATACGAAGTTGGCAGAGCCGATCAGCAATATCCTATCCAAAATCCAACACATGTCGTTCTTTAAGTGGCCATCCAAGATGATTGGACCCCCTGACACTAGACGAAGGGATAAACGGTGTGAATATCACAAGGATCATGGCCACGAGACTGGTAGTTGTTATGCATTGAAGGACCATCTGGAGGAGTTAATGCAAGACAGCCGAATGGCACAGTATGTCCGAAAGGGTAATCCACCAAACACGGTAGCTCTACGCCCGGATTCACCTCTATTTGGTGTGATTGACATGATATATAGCCTACCGCCGCCAACTCAAGTACATACGATCCAGCTACAACCCAGCCCATCCAACCCATTCACACCAGCCAAATGGCCTCATAAGACCGGCAAAATTAGCTTCAACGACGTTGATCTTGAAGGGGTAACGCTCCCCCACGACGATGCCTTTGTCGTCGAGTTGCGCATAAATAGATTCATCATCGAACACGTTCTGATCGATCAGGGGAGCACCATAGAGATAATGTATCACAAGACATTTATTAAACTTGACTTCACCGATTTGTACTTGCTACCGACCGAATATCCCCTGTTCGGCTTCAATACCAACCCCGAGTACCCTTTGGGCAAGATCATGCTATTAGTACGTACAGGTACCAAATTAGTCGATGTGGAGTTTCTGGTCGTCAAACTTGCATCACCATACAATCTCATTATGGGGAGAACCTGGTTGCACGCAATGCAGGTGGTACCAAGTACCTACCATTAGTTACTTCACTTTCCAACGTAACATGGCATCGAGCAGATTCGAGGTTCTCAAAAATCGACAAAGGCATGCTATCTTATTGTTTCAGCAAATAAGCCGAAGGAATTGGAAATGAACTCAATTGAAGTTCCGGATCGAGAAAGCCTACAGGATGTTGGAAAAACTCCCAGTGATAAGGCAACCAAAGACCTCAATCGGATCAAAATCAAAGGGGAACTTGACAAGTTCTTCATGATCGACACTTCCCTAAATGTAGCTGAATAACAAGAGTTGGTTTCCTTCTTACTCGGCAACATAGACGTATTTTCTTGGACACTGTATAAGATGCCGGGGGTGGATCCGAGCATGGCCCAACACTGTTTAAATGTCGACCCAAAAGTTAAACCAATCATTCAAAAAAGTCGACGTTTGGTCGCGGAGCATACTTCGGTCATTGTCGACGAAATCGACAGGCTGATAGAAGCCAGGGCAATCCGTGAAGTAACTTATCTCACGTGGCTATTCAATACTGTGGTTGTAAAGAAGAAAAATGGATCCTGGTGTGTTTATGTGGATTTCAAGGACTTGAACGGGGCCAGTCCCAAGGATTGTTTTCCTCTTCCCTGAATCGACCAACGCGTGGACGCAACTGCGCACCACCAATGCATGAGTTTCTTGGATGCTTACAGGGGTTACCACCAAATTGCTATGCATCCAGAGGACCAGGAAAAGACTGCATTTCTCATCCCACGGGGAACCTATGGTTACAAGGTCATGCAGTTTGGACTGAAGAATGCGAGGGCAACTTATCAAAGGCTGGTCACCACTATGTTTATAGAACAACTCGGCCACACCATGGAAGTATACATTGATGATATGGTGGTGAAATCCAAGGAAAAGCATGCTTATGAGCCAACTCAGCAACAACTTTTGGCATTCTCCAAAAGTACAAAATGAAACTCAATGCTTCGAAGTGTGCATTCAGCATCGGATTCGGCAAGTTTCTCGGCTATATCGTGAACCATCGTAGAATAGAGGCCAACCCGAGGCAAATCACAGCCATTATAGAACTCGGTTCACCTCAGTTGGCCAAAAAAGTTCAGAAGTTGATAGGAATGACTGCCATCCTCAATAGGTTTATCAACCGTTCCTCGGATCACTGCCGACCATTTTTTCATACACTTCGGCAGGGCAAAGCATTTCAGTGGACCCTCGAGTGCCAGGCTGGGCTAGACGAATTAAAAAAGTATCTTCGTTCAATGCCACTCTTGGCAACTTCATCACCAGGCGATCTACTCATCTTGTATCTAGCGGTATCTGATCAGCCAATCAGCGCCGTGTTATTAAAGAAGGAACTTGGGGAGCAGGGACCAATCTACTATGTAAGCAAGATGATGGTCGACGTTGAGACATGATACCTACCACTGGAAAAGCTTATGCTGGCTCTTGTGGTGGTTTCCAGAAAATTGATGCACTACTTTCAGGCTCATACTATAGGGGTACTAACAGACTATCCTCTCCGAGCAGTGCTCCATAGCGTGGAAGCATCAGAGCGAGTCTTTAAATGGGCATTAGAACTCGGCCAGTATAACCTCTAATTTTTTCCTAGAACGGCCATCAAGGGGCAGGTGTTGGCCGACTTTGTAGCCAAGTTTACAGGATGCCACGTCGACTCCAAGTCTGACAAACTCACCTCTCAACCTCAACCAGACTGGAGAATGTATGTTGGAGACATTTGGCAGATGTATTCTGATGGATCATCTAACTAACATGGCAGCGGGATAGGTGTAGTAATCATGACCCTTTAAAGGGCAATAATCGAGCATGTAGTCAAACTAGGTTTCGATGCATCAAACATTGAGGCCAAATATTAAGCATTGCTAACCGGACTCCATAATGCGCTTCACCTAGGCGCTAAACGATTACAGGTTTTCTGTGACTCAAAATTAGTCATGAACCAGTTGAAAACGAAATATTCGGCTAAGAACAATTGAATGGCAGCCTATATGAAAACGGCGAATGCCTTGCTCATGAAGTTCGACCACCACGAGCTGAATTAGATAACCCGAGATCAGAACACACATGTGGATGCCCTTGCTTGCTTGGCTTTTGCCATTAACTCGGAAATCAAACGAACCATCGAAGTGGGATTTATCCCAGAGTCGAGTATCAATTCCCTTGAACCTGTTCAGGTTAACACCATTGACTTGGGACCAAGTTGGATGGATCCCATCACCGCATTTCTTTCCTCAGAATAGCTGTCGACAGACAAGAAAGAATAAGCTGCGAAATAAAGCCCTATGGTATTACCTGGATCCCCAAGGAAAGCTCTACAAAAAATCTCTCTCAAGGCCATATTTGGATTGTGTTCACCTAGACAGAGTCAAGGACTTCTTGGCTGAAATACATGAAGGCAGTTGCAGTGTCCATTCTGGAGGACACTCATTGGCCCACTAAGCTGTGACATAGGGATATTATTGGGCGACCATGTGTACTGATGTCGAGAACTATGTAAAGAAGTGTGAACAACGCCAGAAGTTCTCTCCATTAGCTCACCTGCCCACCGAAGAGTTGAATTCCGTTACTAGTCCTTGGTCGTTTGCTCAATAGGGCCTTGACATTGTCGGGCCACTACCATGGGCTCTGGGAAACAAACGATTCTTGATCGTTGCAACAGACTATTTCATGAAATGGGTCGAAGCAGAATCACTGCCACATATCTGAGATATCGATGTTAAACACTTTGTGTGGAAAAGCATTAAAACCCAATTCAGCATACCCAGAGCACTTGTATCCGACAATGGCACCCAATTCGATTGTGGCGTCTATCGGGAACTATGAAACACATATGGTATCCAACCCTACTTTTCGTCATCGTCGTACTCACAAAGAAATGGTCAGGCCGAGGCCTCTAATAAGGTGATCCTAGATGGAATCAAGAAACATTTGGAGAAGGGCAATGGCAAGTGGGTTGACGAGCTACCCAGTGTATTGTGGGCTTACTGCACCACTCCGAGGCGGCCCACCAAAGAAATGCCATTCGCTCTATGCTTTGGGACAAAGGCTATCATCCCTCTTAAAATCGGCCTACCCACTCTGAAGTCGAAGGCTTTTGACACATGGCGTAACAACATGATGTTAACCTTAGATCTGAATTTGCTTAAGGAACGTTAAGATCGAGCTCTTACGCGCATGGCGCGATATCAGCAGCAACTCGCTAAATCATATAACCAGTGCGTGCAGTTGTGATGTTATTCTCGTGGAGTATTGGTTCTCAAGAAATTGCTTCCTGCTACTAAAAACCCAACAGACAGAAAACTAGACTCCAACTGGGACGGCCCCTATCAGATTTATTTGATTGCCAGTATAGGGGCATATCACCTTTCAGACATGGCTGGCAGAAGTTTACCATGACCTTAGAATTTGACTCACTTTCATAAATTTTATCATTAAACCAACTTGTACAGTATGCTAGTTCGTTTTTGTTTTGCTGTTGTGCAAGCGTGTACGCATCTATATAGTTATTCAGCAATACAGTATGTCTTTCTCATTGCCTTCTCATTTATAATGGCCGATCAATAAAAGCCTCTGAATTTGGAGTGCCCTTCATGCATGATCACGTTTGGCCATGATAAAACCCTCTGAATTTGGAGCGCCGATTGTGCTCGGCACAATTGGCTGAATAAGCCTCAGAATTTGGAGTGCCCTTTGTGCTTGATCATGTTTGGCTAGGATAAAAGCCTCCGAATTCGAAGTGCCGTTCATGCATGATCATGTTTGGCCACGATAAAAGCCTCTGAATTTGGAGCGCCATTCGTGATCGGCACGATTGGTCGAATAAGACTTTGAATTTAGAGTGCCTTTTGTGCATGATCACATTTGGCCACGATAAAAGCCTCAGAATTCGGAGCACTGTTCATGCTCAGCACGATTGGCCGAATAAGCCTCTGAATTCAGAGCGCCCTTCATGCTTGATCACGTTTGGCCATGATAAAAGCCTCCAAATTTGGAGCACCCTTCGTGCTCGGCACGATTGGCCGAATAAGATTATGAATTTGGAGAGCCCTTTGTGCATGATCACATTTGGCCATGATAAAAGCCTCTGAATTCGGAGCGTCGATCGTGCTTGGCACGATTAGGTAAATAAGCCTCTGAATTCGAAGCGCCCATCGTGCTTGATCATGTTTGGCCATGATAAAAGCCTCCGAATTCGGAGCGCCTTTCATGCTCTGCAGGATTAGCTGAATAAGCCTCTGAATTCAGAGTGCCCTTTGTGCATGATCACGTTTGGCCATGATAAAAGCCTCCGAATTCAGAGCGCCGTTCGTGCTCGGCACGATTGGCTAAATAAGCCTCCGAATTCGGAGCACCCTTTGTGCTCGGCACGATTGGCCGAATAAGCCTCTGAATTCGGAGCGCCCTTCGTGTGTGATGACGTTTGGCCATGACAAAAGCCTCCATATTCGGAGCGCCGTTCGTATTTGGCACGATTGGCCGAATAAGACTCCAAATTCGGAGCTCCCTTCATGCTTAATCATGTTTTTCCATATAGAGCCTCCGAATTCGAAGCGTCCTTCATGCTCGAGCGCGATTGGCCATTACGAAGACTCCAAATTAGGGGCACCCTTTGCACTCAATAGAAGTGACCAAATAAATACTCCAAATTCAAAACATCTTTCGTGTCTCAAGAGTGGCCATTATTACAGGTTCCAAGTTCCAAATTATGGGATTGACAATATTAAAATTAGTTATACCATGACAGATTCAATAATCATATAAATATTCATCTTTAAAACAAACTAAAAGTTGGTTTCGAAAACACAATTATTTATTACAAACAACACAGCAGTACCTCTTACAGCAGTCTTATTGGATTACATCTTACAAACTCATGTTCAGGCCTTGTTCGATTCCTCTTCATCATCCATTTTCTAGGCATCATATGCCTCAAATGAAACCTTGTAATCATTATAAAGCATCGACGCCGAGTCAACACCGGCAGCTTGTAGGGCCTTGATCCATCTGTGCTTAAAGCCATGGTTCTCACACCAGCAAACATCGTTGGCCAACTTCTCCTTGGTCTTTTCGACGATTTTTCGATCGTCAAAGAAACCCTCCTCGTAGGCCCATGTTCGTATCGCTTCCCTCACGAATACACTGGCCATCTCACGATCGACTACGGCATGATCTATCAGGCGTTGATTCACCCTGTCAACCACAACCGGATTCATCAAGCCAGCCAACTGAGGCTCTACAGCCTTTTCACCTCATCCTCGGCCTTTTCT